ATATATATATATATATATATATATATATATATATATATATATATATATATATATATATATATATATATATATATATATATATATATATATATATATATATATATATATATATATATATATATATATATATATATATATATTATGAAATCATAACAAAATCATTAAAACTTCCTCATATTACCATCATTAACATCACAACAACATATTTGTAACAACATTCAAGACTCATCATTTACAACAAGACTTCTTAGCGTACACAACAAGTAATAACCACATTCCTAAACATATTGGATATAGAAATACTGGGAAAACAATTCACCTATTTATACCATGTTAAATTTCTATTTATTTGCTTTCCAACGCTTTAAACGGTTCGTCATTTGGATATACGGTTAAAAAGTTACGACCAAAACCGTATTTAACATTTTTGTATTCTGACGCAGAGGTCGACGCATACCACCCGTTTTTCAAAGAATTCGTTTCTGGAAGCTACAAGTCGACGAATAAGGCATGCAGGTTGACACATATTGTTTTGTTTGCCCAAAAATCACTTTTTAAAAGCACTTTTACACTAGTTTATCATGTTAGAACCTATGCTACGAAATCCTACCATCATAGACCCATTTTTCTTCTATCTTAACATTCTAAAAATCAATTATTTTCATGTATTACTCATGAATTAACATCATGTAATCATTAATTTTCTATCTATGATTCAAACTCTTATAACTCAACAATGGAGGAAAACATATCAACAACCCAAAAACAGAATTGTTACACATATAGGCAAGCGAAATTCATCATATAAGCAATATATTATAACAATATCATCATACACTATTTCACAATATTCATAGCATTATTGAAAAACATACAATTTATCAATTAAGAGAAATCAAGGTTCATAGCATAGAAGGACAAAATAACCCAACAATGTAAGAACCTAAATCCTTACCCCACTATTCATCATATTATCCCTTAGAAGAGCATAACCCCACCCTTACCTTAGAGTTCTTGCAAGATCTTCTACTTCTTAAAAATGGTGGTCTCCTTTTCCCTTTAGCCCTAACTTCCTCTTCTCACCTTCTCGTGTTTCACGTTCTGACAGTTTTCTATCCCCAAAATCCATTTTCTTATTCTATTATTTACTTCAACCGATAATAATAATAATAGGTATTTATTTAACTAATTAAATTAAATAATACCAATATATATTATTTAACTAATTAATTATTAACTAATATTACTAATTAGCTCCACTCACCACACCACCCATCTCTGCACTATTACTCACACACCCTCAATACCTAAAATTATATTTTCTAAGGCTACCAGCCTACACCAAAGGGCTCTCTAATATACCAAAACACCAATCACACAACAAGATCACCAAATATCACATAATTAAATCACAAAAATAATTTAAACTAAACCGGGGCGTTACACTTCTAACACACCCTGTTGAACTACTAGGGCTTGCATTTTCAAGTGTGACAAACTAAAATCATTCAAACTGGTGAATTTCTCAATCTCATACTTTGTAGACGACATCTTCTCCTCCATGCTCATTGCACTAATTTGTTATGAATTAATGTCGTTAAGAATAATTCAAAATATGAGAAAAATTGAGTTTCTTGAACAAACATAAGAAACCCTATTAGGTTTTATGAAAGAGAGAGAAGAAGGAAGAAGACGAATTAGGATTGGTTATAACTGTTTTACTATTTACTTTCTCTATTAGGATTCTTAGATTACAAGTGAATATCAACAACCAAAACTCTTCTCTTAATAACCTGAGAAAACTAGTCAATTTATAGACTACTAAGCTAACTTAAGCTATAAGATAACTTAAACAATTAGGCTAAACAAATAGGGTCAATTTGACATGTTAACAATCCTAGCATTTTGACTACTGCATGCTTAAGCATACTTTGATTAGAGCATGCAGGATCAACATGTGAACAGACGTCGACTACATGCTAAACCTTTGTCAAACCATGAAGCTATCCCTATTGAGATTAGAGTTCGATCCATATATCACATTAAGAATAGTTTTTATGTTGAACAACACCTTCCAGACCAACGTCGGGGAGGTATTCGTCTTTTTTATCACCAAAGTTAACACCTTCAGTTTTTCAGCCAACAAATGAGGATACTCAAACCCTTTCCCCATGTCACCCATTCCATTGAAGAGGTTATCCGAACCTACAAGACTCCAACCTTTCCTAAAACTCCAAAAGCCAAAAGGACATAAGCATTACATATTTGATACGAAATTTATGCCATCTCTTCTTGGCAGAACGTTTCGACCTTACACCTGAAATAAGATTAGTCTTCTACAAAAAAAATGAAAGATCAAGGCTTCCTAACCGTATGAAGATCAAAACTAACAAGGAACAACGAAAATAGAATTTCCTAGTTCAACAAAAAACATTCCTTGTGATCTGGCCTCCCCGAATGTGGCTCCCCATTCTGAGGCCTCTTGAAAACAGACTCGCCAACTAAAGAAGCACTATCAACGCCTCTTCTCCATAAACCTTTACTGATCACCCTCAACGATTCTTGAAAATATCCTTTCCTGAAGGACTATTGGACGGGTCTCGAATCTCGGACTACTCCAATCAAGGAGAGGCTCTAAAAATCGGAGCAACAAAACTGCTCAAGGGATTAGCCTTCTTTAGGATCGGAACAGTCATAACTTTAGAGGGAGAAAGCATATTTCTTGATTACCCTGCAAAAAAAATGAGAGCGATGAGGCCTGCACCCTCTAAAGCCTAAAAGGTTTAAAAAAATCATTTAAATATCCGCCTTAGATAAAACGCACATAAAAATGGGGTAGACATATTATATATGTGAGATTCAAACCTTAACCCGCCCCATGAAATTATGCGAGAAAAACAAGCATGTCCGGCGAGTCTGCCCCATTTTGCTACACCTAAATCTTCTCATCTAGAGCATCATTTTTTAGAATTCACCTTTTCTGCAAGCAAAAATCAAGTGTAAATAGTAAGAAAATCCAATTTGGAATGGGGAACCGAAATGGGAAAGTCCTATATTCCTTTACCAAAGATGTTGTGCCTTTCTACTCTAATAGCCGCCACCATCAGTAGACAGGTCTTTATGTACTGTTTCTTCTTCTTCTTCTTCTTCCCAAACACGACAACAAAGGTTTGAAGGGTGTCAACGTAGCCAAGACCTTCCTATAATTCCACAAGCTTATTCTTCAAATATGCCTTCTCTTTAAAAAAAAGGTCATCGACGGATAAATATAAGTTTTTGATTTGGCTAAGAAACGATTTTGGAGCTAGAATTTGGGGAACTTGTCAACACATCTTTGGGGTGTGTCAAGTTCAACCACATAGATATCAGAGAAACCTTGGTGAGAAACACGACAAGATAATACTAGTCCTTGTCATTTTTCATACTGCCGACATACACTTCAAACATATCCCTACTCTGCTTGAGGGAGAGTAAAATCTGACCCTATTCCAAGTCGGCTGGGCAGCGTTGAATGTTGAATAGATGGAAGAAGAACGTCAGAGTCAGCACACTCGTTTTATATTCACATTAATATTGAAAGACTTTTACGTAGACCTAACTCATTAGATACAGTTGCAAAAGAGTAACCCCCCTGTGATTAACCCTACCTCAAAGTCGTTAAAAGGAAGTCATAAAGCTACCCAAAAATCTAAGCACTCGTGAAGAGAAAGAACACACCCCTCATATTTGTTGCACAATCTCTTGTCCTTTTTTTTGTTGAGAAAACACCCTTAATGAGAGGAGGAGCCACCTCGACGAAGGCATTTTTCAAGCATTCTTTACCACCGGCAACACCACTATTTTGATGTGGAATTGGGGTTTTGAGCTGCAAAGGAAATAAACTCTTTCTATGTGGTGGTACGAGCCTCCGTTGCGATGGATCAATGGTGTATTTGCAAAATAAGTAGTCAAACACCCAAATATGTAAGGTAAGAGACGTAACGTTGCCAAATTGAAAAAATATATATTAGTTATGGCGTGTAAGTCCATCTAATTAGATCTAATGGTTGGTGATGAGCAAGCAAGCTTAATTTGGTGAGCGAACTTCTGACAAAGTGTGATAGATCGTATGGTTATATCAGACGGCTAATGATAAACAAGTAGGTTGAATCAGGTGTGCGGCCTTCTAACAATAATTTACCTTTTTGTATTCCATATAGAAGATTCTTTAGTTGGCCCACTCAAGCTTAGTCGATCTTATTAAATCACTAGATCAATCCAAAACAATTTTTTAAAGAAAACGTATAAAAAATGTGAATTTTATTTTATTAACATTTCTTATATAATCTTTGCCTAATAAAAATATCATGAATACAAAATTAGATATAAATATTTTGTAAAGAAAAATAATAAGCAAAGGAAAAAAAAATGTGGATTTCATAAAGGAAATTAATGATAAAGAAAAAGAAGAAAAAACTGGGTTAAAACAGTTAGAAGAAGAAAAGTTATGATTTTTTAGAAAGTTAATAGAAAAAAAAAATTGTTTTTATGAAATAGTTAAATGAATTTTAAAAATTATTTAACTAATTCTAACTTTAAGTAAAAAATTATTTACTAACTTTGTAACTTTTATATTAATAAGATAAGATGATGATAATAGTAAATTTAAAATTATAAAACATTATCCGAACATTAGTGTAAAGTGCCTGGGTACAAAGTCCGCGCGCACTGGATACTCAAAAGAAAGTGGCCGCAAGTTACCCCACACAACACAACACCAACACCAGTACTCCAAATTGTGTTTGTGTAATTAATGCAAAACAAAACTTGGTTACTGTGATAAATCACATTCATTCATTCATACTCATTTTTCCTCCTTCTCTCTAACATCCACTACACAATAACTAAGTGGCATGGGCATCATTGGTTTTTAAATTTTATTCATATTCTCTTTCTTTTTTAATATTCCAACTTCTTCTGGTTTTCTTTTCTCTCTATTTCCTTTCTTTTCTAATGCTAAAATGAGTTCTGAAGAAAATAAACCTGTCACTGTTGAGGATCATGATGCTTCATCTTGCAGAAGAACAGTTTCTCTTCCTGTTACTCACAAGGTGCCTTTTTTTTTTTGTTTTGTTTCAACCACTTATCTTTAATTTGAACTCCACTTTTTCTCCTTAACTTTGCTTCTTTTAGTTGATGTTTCTTTTGATGTTGTTCCACCATCACTCAAACCAATCTCAACCATGCTGGAGTTTGCTTTACAGTAAATACTACTCTTTTGTTGGCTTTATTTTATGAAAAAGTTAGAGCTTGATCTGTTTTTTGTTTCCTCTACTTTGAATTATACTGTTGAAAACCGGTTGAACTTAGTTTCCAACAGATTACAAACATAGACTATTTGAAAGAACCATTGAAAACAGTATATGGTAAATCCATAAGCTCTTTTTCAGCTTATATTTATAAGCTATATGGATAGTTGAAAACAGCTTATATGAAAATAATTTGACGGCGTTTCATCTTTTGTTATAGAAATAACTTATAACTTATACATAAAAAGTTATATCATAAGCGCTTACATTGGTTTTGTAATGTGGCTCAGTTATATTATTGTGCCTGCATCACTTATGTGTCCATTTCATTTTGTATTTACAGGATAATCATGATTCGACGGGGATAACCAAAGAAATCACGCATGTTCCTCCCCGGAAGAAACAGAATCTTCTCTTGGAAATACCATCAAGAACACCAGAAGAGTGTTCACAAGATTATGTTGCAATCAAGATGCCAATGACACCGAGTCCTACTCCAATTCCGACTCCCAAGAGAGTGAATTTTCTGATGACTTCTCGGTCAGTCGATGCTCCAACAAATAATTCTCCTGGATCTGCAACATCAAAAGGCAAATCATCCTTAAGAAACATCCTACCAAAATTGAGCTTCAGGAATAGGACACTGGCAGATACTGAAAAGGTGAACGCATCAACTCCGGAGGTTTCCTCTTCGGGCCTTCGAGAAAAGCCTTTGATCTCAAGATCATTGTCACTTAGTAAAATATTTACTCCTAGGATGAAAAGAACTTCATCGTTGCCATTAGAAGAAATTGGACATTCCAATACAGATTCCACTCATGGTGGAAATGGAAGTGTTGGTGGTCCTCTGAGTGTAAGATTTTAAGCAATGCTTTCAACTTCTCTTATAAAAATAATGTTTTCATCGTTTTAACGTTGTTAGTTTACTTTGCAGAGAAGAGAGACTCGACTTAAGATAGCACGCTCTCTTTCAATGCCAGCGAACAACAAGAAGGACAAAAGCCTAAGGAGGATGGATTCGTTTTTTCGGGTCGTTTCTTCTACTCCTCGAGTAAAGGAAGGAAATGAATTGTTGAGCACGTCTCCGACAAAGGATATTGGTATATTATATTGTATTATATATCTTATTGTTAACAGTTGCATGTGGATTCATGAAAAAAAGGAAGAAGTTCATTTTCAAATGCTTTCTTGGTTCAGAAATCGAAGACGCTGATGATGGCGAAGATATAGCTGAAGAGGAGGCAGTGTGTAGAATTTGTCTGGTTGAATTATGCGAAGGAGGCGAGACATTCAAGTTGGAATGTAGCTGCAAAGGTGAACTTGCTTTGGCTCACCAAGAATGTGCTATTAAATGGTTTAGTATAAAGGGTAATAGAACTTGTGATGTCTGCAAAGAGGATGTTAGAAACCTTCCTGTCACTCTATTACGGATTCAAAGCGTTCGAAATCGAATTACTGGAGCAAGTAGATCTCAGCTCGATGATGTAAACGGGTACAGGCACGTCTACTTTAGTACAATAAAGATCGATTTAGATTGTGTGAACCAGCCGTCAGTCACATCTGGACCATCCGAGATCGGATGGTTTAGATATGGTTGACTGCGTACATGCAGTCACAAAGTTGTGACTGCACACAATCTAGATCCGATAAAGATCTTTTTAAATTTCTATAAGCTTGAATTTGGAGCTTCATGAATATAATTCAATCTTCAAGAATTATGAACCATTTTATTTGTCTGCTCAATTTTATAGGATTTGGCAGGAAGTTCCTGTGCTCGTCATTGTTAGCATGTTGGCATATTTTTGTTTTCTTGAGCAACTGTTGGTAAGACTAACAATCCTCTTCAATGAACTGTCAAATTTGCAATGTTTTTAATAATTTTCTTAGAATTTTATTACACAAATTGAATACCAAAATAGCTTCTGATTTTCTCCTCTTTGCAGGTTACTAAAATGGGAACCGGTGCAATTGCCATATCTCTTCCATTTTCCTGTGTACTAGGCCTGCTCTCCTCCATGACAGCATCAACCATGGGTAGGTTTGCAAAACCATTAATAAGTATTATCAATACACTTATTTTCTTTTGTGATTGTACTTAATCTTGTTGATTTCAATATTTTCATGATCCTACTGCTATGTTGAATTTCACTCATATATAATAACATTTTGTTTAAATTTGTGTCCAGTGAAAAGCAGGTTCATATGGATTTATGCATCTTTCCAGTTTGCTCTGGTGGTTCTCTTCGCGCACATATTTTACTCCTTGGTAACCGATTTCCATGCGAATCATATTCTTATTACCTGTAATTTTCACTTTAGAATCCTGATACCTATAGAAAGTAAACTTGTACTTTTCACTTGTGGAAAACCCCTGCATGAAGAAGCGTTAGCATTCCGATTTCAGACTATTTATGATATCTGTCATTTACATTTACAGGTTCATGTGCAAGCAGTTCTATCGATCCTTCTTGCAACATTTGCTGGTTTCGGTGTGGTAATGAGTGTAAGCTCTTTCCTTGTTGAGCTTTTTAGATGGAGAAGGAGACGGCAGGCTTCGTCAGAGCAACAACATGGCCCTCTGCCGATGACACAAGCAGGACAACAACCACGATCAGGTGAATCCAACCGCAATCAATAAGACTCAAATCAAAGTTGAATTGATATTTGTGTGCTTCTTTGTCATGACAAAGCTAGTGGCTGCAGAACTTATTGTTTATAAAAGTAGGAAATTTAATATTTTGTTACTAATTCAGTACAGGTCTACATGAGACTACATTGTACAGTTTATGGGTTTTTGTTTGTTTATTTGTATTGATGAACATTGTTGATTTGTCTTAGAATTTGATTATTGATGTGTGTCAGTTTTCCACTTTTCTATTGTGGAATGTTGCTTATGGAAGAAACACTGAAAATTATAATAGGTTATACTAATAAATTATGGGCGTAAATGCATTTTGCACTTTTGGTTTCCTAAGTCAATATTTTTACACTTAACAAAAAAATTCAAATTTTTGTGTTTTTTAAATATATATTTTTATAGAAAAATGTGAAAATAATTTTAATTTAATTGTTGTTTATGAAAAAAATAAAATAAAACAAATAAAATGAAAGTTATATTTAATTTTATTTTAAAAAAATGTATTTTAGAATAAAATGCTTAATAAAATAAAAATAGTATTCTTACTTATAATTTATAACAAAAAAATGTGTGTGTTTTTTATAAATCAATACAGAGTAGTAGTATTTTTTAAATTGACAAATTTAATCAAATATGTCAATAAAATGGTCTTTTAAATTGAAAGTTATATTAAATAGGTCTTACTCATTACTCAACATGAATTCAAACCTAGGCCTAAGTAAGGAGAGGTGTTAAATCTCTTAATAAAAATCTTTGCCATTTATTATGGTCTTTTCCACTTTTGAAGAATTAGTCTCTACAATTAGCTGTAGAGAATATATTTTTTATAAAAAAAATGCTATGAATTTTATAAATTACATCTTCTCTTTCGCGTTGTTCAATAGTAAACTTAAACACACTTTATATATTTGTTTGAATAATACTATCCAAATAAATTTCTATACACTGTTTGGAAATTATGGTGGTTGAAAGTGCCATAAATCTTATTTAAATAACACTAACAATTTTTTAAATTATGATTGTTAAAATTAAGGGGTAATCAGTTTGGTTTGGATTAGATTTTAGTCAAAAATTATCCATCACTATCGATTTGGTTTAGTTCGGTTTTTAGTATTTTTTAAAAATAGAACCAAATCAAACTAATCGATTTGATTCGGTTAAGTTTGGTTTGATTCAATTTGGTTTACAATATTCTTTTCAAATATTATATTCATTTGTATATTATCTATTATCATATTTTTCGGTGTATTGGATGCTATTAATTTTTTAAATAATATATGTCATACAATATATTTTAAACTTTATTTTTCAAACAAGTTACACATTATTCTTAATTCATACAAAGCATGAACATGATTTTAATTCCATCATAAAATAAGTTCACAATCCAATACAAAAGTTGAAAAAGAATTTGAAAGCATATCAAATAAAACACAACAATAATAACAAAAGGTTTTAATACACATAAATTAACATGTATTACCCCTCAAACATGCATCAAAACTATTTTGTAATAAAACTAAAAGCAAATTCGTTAAAGAAGAAGAAGCAAAAATGGTAAAAAGAAAATAGATGAAAAGTAACGAAGAGAACATGAATAAGACAATCATAACCTACAAGAATGACGGTGGGGAGAAAAACATAGTTGAAGAGAGCAAGTTTTGTGGCTGGTGATTTTTATATTTTATATTGGAAGTATGATTTTGACTGCATGTTTTGTTGAAAGAAAGAAAGTATTAACAAAGATGGAGACGAGTTAGACTGATACAAAATTTAGACTTAATAATGATCTAAATAAAAGATCAAATAGGTATTTATAATCATCGGTTCAGTTAATCGATTTGACGGTCATTAAAAATTAAAATCAAAAAACCGAACCAAACTATTTCGATTTTTATTGGTTTGATTATGTTTTTAAACTGAACAAAATATAATCAAATTTTTTTAATTTAATTTAATTTGAATTCTCAATTAATTGATTTCTTCAAACCCACTTAACCAATATATCTTAATATGATTATTTAGATTTTTAGATTTGTGGCTGTTAAAACAATCCTAATATTATATTTAGACCAATCTTAATAATAGTAATGATTCTTGTCCAAAAAAATATATAGTTTGATTAAAATATGGAAACAATTTCCAATTTACAACATTTATTAAAATGTGTATCAAGAGCTTATAGTATTTTTAATTCAGTCCATTGCTCCAACAAAGCTATTAAACACCTTAACAACTTACAGCATTAATAAATGATAAGTATTAAGTCCTTTAGAGTTCCTAATTTTTATGTTTGTTTTATGTTTTTATAAGTATTTTTTATTATTATAAATATAATGTGTTATTAGTTTATTACCTTTTATATTTATCCTCATGTAGTAGAATGAGAATTTTACATTCTTACATTTCACGGAAATACAAAATAACTTATATGGGTTGGCCAAAGAATAATAACAAACCATAATTTCTTATTCTCACACTATTTTAAACACATTTATTTTTTAATTTTAAATTTTTTAAATTTAAATATGTTTTTAAAAAAATTTTGTGATAGAAATAAAATCAGGGGTAATGATATTTCAAGATATAGTTTTCTCAATATTATAATTTAATTTTTTAAACAAATACACTCTCGGTGCTTGATTGGATTGTTTTGATTGCTTATCTAAAATTTAAAACATCCACTACAAAAAAAAATAGATTAAATATGTTTGTGGTTTTCCTAAACATTTTTAATTTTGTTTTTAATCCTTTAAAAAATTCTTTCAAAGAATGATTCTCTTAAAATTTTCTCTCACACTTTTGGTTCCTAATACTAAAATTGTCGTTAAAACTGTCGCTAATTCAGTTAATAAGTTAAAAAACGTCAGTAAAACTGTTGTTAATTATGTCGCTTATTTGTAAAAACCGCCGCGAAGTTGCAAGAGGGACCAAAAACGTGGATTAAAGATTTTAAAAGGATCATTCTTTGAAAGAAATATTTTGAGAGACTAAAAATAAAATTGAAATATTTATGTGGACTATAAACATATTTAACCCAAAAAAATTAAATGAAAACAAAATTTTGAGACGAAAATTGTAACACCCCATTTAAATATTTAGTTGTTTTGTGATTTTATCCATTTGGTTATTTTGGCGTTGGCTTAGTCAAGAGTAGGTATGTAAGGGTGAGTGTGAGAACTTAGTGTAATGAAGTAACTAAAATAAGTCTTAGAATAATACTATGATAATAATAATATAATTAGTGGTGGATGAAATATTTCATTATTATTATTATTGTTAATATTATAATTGATGGCATGGAATAATTGTCCCTAATAATAATTAGGGGTGGCAAAATGAGTCGGACGTGCCGGGTAGCCTGTTTGACTCGCCATTTTTGGCGGGCTGGGCCGAGGCTTTTGGCTCGATAATTTAAATTGGCCTGCCCCGCCTAACTCGCTTGAAAAAGCGGGCCGAGTCGGGGCAGAGCGGATTTTACCTGCGGACTTTTTGTTTTATTTTTTTACTTAGAATTAAAACAACTTTAAATATAAAAATAACACTTTTATCTTATGATTATGTTGATTGAATTGTTTTATAAATTATTGGACAAACAAATTGAATTATAATTGTAACATTCTTTCAATAACTTTCTAATGCATGTTTTGATTAGAAAAACTTGAAATAAAAGAACAATTGTATGTTATGTTGAATTATTAAGTTGTAAACATTAACTCACATGTTTTCTTTAGAAATAGATGTTAATTTTAAGAAAAGGAAGGGTTTGATTAGTGTATACGTATGATGAATTTTGGATTTAACTATTAAGGAATCAATCAATATAAGAGTCTATATGATGTAAACAACGAGAAAGTCAGATGTTGATATTTTATGCACTACTATTTTATACATTGTGATATTTTATTCAATATAATTGTTATCATTGTTTGTCTTTTGTAAATTTTTAATTGGGTTCTTTTAGTAGTTAATTTTTAAATATGATTAGGATGATTTGTATTGTTTATTTATTTTGATAGGTTTTTTTTATTGTGTTTGAGTTTATTTCATTATTTTTTTTGTTGTAATTAGTCTTTATTTATTTTATTTTTTAAACTTTTTGGACTTAAGACATGTTGATGTTCTATTATGCGTTGTTAAAAAAATCTTTTGTCGACCTCTTTAGTAATAAATAAAATTTTGTAAATTATGTAGTAAATCAAATTGTAAAATAAAAAAATTAGCGGGCCGGCCCGCCAACTCGTTAGAAAACGGGGCGGGCTTGGCTTTTGAGCTCGGAAGCCTAAGTTGGCCCGCCCCGTCCCGCTTTTGAATGGGCTTAAACGGAGCGGGTCTAAACGGGGCGGACCACCCACTTTGCCACCCCTAATAATAATGGTAATAATAATATTATTATTATTATTATTAAAGAAAATACAGATAAGTAGGGAGTATTGGTAAGGAGGTTAGAGAAATCAGTTACATGGGAAAAGAGAAAAGATAGAAGAAAGAAGCAGAGCTAAGGCAAGAGGAGATCAAGAGTTTCATCATTGTTAGAAAGCTCAACCTTGGAATTAAGGTAAGGGGAGAATGTGTCCATTAATGGTTTCTAGAACATGAGGGGTAGTGAGGGTTCCTTTCCCTCTTAGAATTTATGCGTATTTTATGTGCATTCTTCTTCCTTCTTGCTTAAGTATATATGCAATTGTTGTTGTGAAATCGTGTTTTTGGTGTTGTTCTGGCATGAATTTCGTGTAAATTGTGTGTTATTATTGTTGTGTATACCATGAGAACAGATATGGAAATTATGTTTTAGTGATGATGAATTTGTGTGTTGATGATGAGAAATTGATGATAATAGATGAATTGATGTTATTATAATGTTATGAGGTTAACCCATGAGTATATAAGATGATAAGTGATTTTTGGAATGTTAAGATAGCAGAAAATTGGGTCTGAAATGATATAACTTTGTAGCATAGGTTCTAACATGATAAAACAGTGAAATGTGCTTTTGATTT